ACTTCCTTCTGGATCCCACCGTCCCTCCTACTTCCCGATCCCACCTCACCCCCGATTCCGGCTTCCCTCCACCGATTCCCAGCTCTCTCTGTCGATCCCGACTCCCTCTTCTGACCTCCCTCCCCCGACCTCCCTCCAGCGACTTCCCTCCCCATCCCGGCTTCCTTCTCCCCACTTCCCCCTATCGATCCCCACCTCTGTCTCCCGATCTCGACTTCCCTCTCCGATCCCGTTTCTTCATCCCAACTTCCCCTCCTCCCTCTTCGCCCCGCCCACCGCCTCTTCCATGAGTCCACGCGTACGCCTGCCCCCCGCCCCCGTCGGCCTTTCCCTGCCCCGACTTCGTAGGCCAGAAAACTCAAATAAAGGTCTGGCCCAGACCGAAACTACCATAGCCTTGAGAGGCAAACATCCTGAACAACTTCCTACTGCTTCTCTACAGATCTTATCATCTTTTTCTTTCTACCTTTCTCTCGTTTTTTTTTTTTTAACATAAAAAGCTATATTATTCTCTCATGAACATAAAAACTATATTCTTCTCTCAATTCCACCCCCTCACACTACCTACCACTTCTCCTAATTATAGTCATACGGCAACTCCGTAGCAGCTAGAACGAACTGACCGGTCCTACATTAGGTAATTCAGAACTGGAGTATTTCACTCATCTGCTTCCTGTGGAGTTCGAACTCGGGTCTGTATTTCAACAGTTCAGTTCAAGGGTGTACCAACTGAGCTACGGTAGGCCAGTTGGTATGGATCTGGTTTTCGTTTGACATTGTGGTGACAGATTCAGGCAAACATAGTTGGGAAGCGGGAAGGGGACACGTGGCGCGCAGTGAGCTGTTCAGCTATGGCTGAGGAGAGGGGGAGGAGGCACGAAGGCGGCAGTTCCGTCGTCGATATCAACGGAGAAAACTGGCGGGAAATGTGTGACCAGCGCTCTGAGGACAGGGGCGAAGTTGGTGGCGGCTGCATCGAGGAAAATGGCGGGAGATCTTGCTGCCAGCCGACACGTGGCAGGCCTACAGCGAACGGGGGAGTAGCTCGCGAGGAAAATGGCGGGAGATCTTGCTGCCAGTCGACACGTGGCAAGCCTACAGCGAACGGGGGAGTTGCTCCTTTTCTGCCGCAGAGATCAGGTGTTCCACGACGTCAGCCGTTTGCTGACGTGGATCCTTTGCGATATGTCAGAGAGACTACTCAGTGGGTGGTCGATCGAAGCCGCCACGTCAGCATTGATGACAATGCCCTGGTGGCAGTTGCAGAGCAGCTCGCTGGCTCTTGGAAGCAGGTGCAATGGAATTGGGAAGACATCCATTTTCAAGATGCAGGAGCGTTAACGGTGCAGTACATCTTTGTGGTTGACGTGCTCAATTTTTGTTTCTGGCCAGATCCCGATCTGACGTACGAACACCTGGCACAGAGCCTGAAGATGGCAGTTCTCAGAGATCCTCATGCACTAGATGCAGAGCGGCCAGCGGCCTGTGATGTGAAGACCTAACGGCAAATGATGAACCGGGGAAAAAGAAAGAATAAGGATAAGTTGAAGGAGGAGGAGGAGGAGGAGGAGGAGGAGGAGGAAAGGAAAAAGGAGGAGAAGATCAAAGAGGAGCGGGAGGGGGATGAGAGGCAGAAGAAGACGAAGATGGAAGAGGAGAAAGAGGAGAGGAAGACGAAGAAGAAGACAAAAGAGGGAGAGGAGGAGGAGG